GGACAGGGTGCCGTGTAGACCAATCGGAGAGGCCCTTGCCCTACGTGCAGTGTACGTAATATGTGGGCTGAATATTATGGTGATGATCATAATATTAATATTATATGTGGGAGCATTTTACGTCTGTACGACTTCCAATACTTCAAAGAATGGGAAAGTGACCCTGTACACATAATCAGTCTCCCCTACACCCTTGCACTTTTACCGAATAGAGGGGTATTAGATAGTTGAATTCTTCTTGCATTCATGGTCACTTAAGCTTAGAATTTTACTGTATGCTTGCTTCCTTCACTGTTCTTTGTTTTCTTTTTTGTGCGTGAAGGGTTTTTACTTATGTCAGTGATACCGCGGATACTAAAACCCGACTGCAATCAAGCGTGTTATGCGTGCATCAAAGACTTGATACGACTAGAGCTAACAGGCGGGAATAGCGTTCAGAGCATGAAAACACACACACACACACACACACACATACACACATTTTGAGGTCTGAGTTTAGGATATGAAAGGTGAGTCGTTGGCAGATCCTTGGTAAGGGGCTGTTTTTTTTTCATCTATAGCTATACTTCCCGTACTACCGCATCAAACGTGTTACATTGTGCTTGATTACAATAAAAATACAGTCTAAATACTACGTAAGAACTTGCTCCTAACTGTCGCAGAAGCTGAGAGCTCTCGACGAAGAAAGTGCTTAACAGCGCAAACGACAGAAGGGGATAGAAGAGACGAGAACAGCGCTTTGTTCTCGTCTATTCTATCTCCTCCTGTCGTTTGCGCAGTTAAGCACTTTCTTCGTCTACTATGCAGCACCAACCAGCCCAATCAAGCACTTTGTTGATAGCTTTCCTTTTCCGTTTTCACTGTAATGCCAGTCCTACGTTTACTTCGTTTTTTTTCTCTTTCGTGGTATGAAACATCAGACACCATTCTGCAGTAACAGTACGCCCATCATTCTGAAGTAACAGTAACAGTATGCGTGAATAAAAACATACAATGTGGCAAAAATTTAATTCATGCCAGCGCCTATACAGGAGGCGCTGTTCATGCTCAACTATTGTGCAATTGACTAGAATTATGTCCAAATACCATATCTCTCCTTCCTCGCAGAAGTGAACTATGGCTAACTAATCAGAGATTAGGTGCCACTACATACCATGAGATTAATCTCAATTTGTGGCTGTATATAATTCTAGCACATGTAAAACATCGCCAAGCGATCCCCAAGCCGCGCCGCTTATTCCCTTATTGCGCATTTGAATGTAAAAACACATGAATTCAATATATGTTCCCATAAAGCTTGGTCTGGATGGCGTGCAAATTGTGATATATTTATTGTGTTCTCAAAAACCTGCCAGGTATATATGGTTTGCACAGACTAGAGCTCAACTAATTTTCGAACACGCACCTTCATGAAGCAAGATACATTGGCCTTGCTTCCGTGGGTACAAATACTTGTGCCAGTTGGTAAATATACTTGTGTGTATGCACGTATACACACCAGCTGGAGGTTTTAATCAACCCACCTTCAGAAACTTTTCACGCTTGACCAGTTCACGCTTGAGCCGAAACGCGCTGCTTCGAGACACCTCACCAGTAGAACTCTCACTTTTCAGGAATTTTCGAGCATCACATCAGAATCATTTGGCATCGCGATTGTCCAAACGGGCACATTAAAAAAAAAAACGTTATCGAAGTGCTGCTAGCCAAGCGTTCGTACCCATGGAGGAAGGACTCCGTGGTTCCTACCAGTCTGGCCGTAGTTTTTTCTTGCGTGTGCACAAGCCGGCTGTAATCAATCGTCACAACGTCACGCCCTGTGGTCACTGAGAGGATCCAGCAAGAAGCCCGTTCACTGTGTCACAGCACACACAAAACACATTCGGAGAAGTGTTTGAGAACATTCGGAGAGCTGGACGAACGACCATGCACGACGCCAGACGCCATGGCTAGTGGTGTCAAACTTAGAATTGCAAAACGTTGCCAGTGGGGTAACGCATATCCCGCTTGCTCTTGTGTGGTACCGTATATGTTTATGAAGGTAACCGTTTATTCTCTGACTCATTTCGTTTCATTTTGTTTCATCTACATCTATTCACCGTAGCAAGTGAACCCAAACATTCGCTTTTTCATGAAAGGTTTGAACCTTCTAGGGGGCACTTCAGGGATATAGGCGATGAGAAAAGGGAAAGGCATCGCTACCTTGAAAACTTGTTTCATCTAGGGACCTTACGTCGAATTAAGGTCCCTAGATAATCAACAAGAGAAAGTGATACATTTTCTTTAAAACGAGAGGTGCACGTTAAGCCAAAACATGAAAAAAAAGTACAGACTCCGGGTTTCAGGGGTATGGGGTGAGCGTTTATTCAACATAAGCGAAGAGACAGCTCTTGTTTGACTATGCAAGGTGGTGGCTGGTTGAATCAAAACATGTACTCTTAAAAAAAAAAGGTTGCTGTACTTACTAACTTCGCGTTACTAACAATTTGTCCCATATGTTACTAACTGGTTAGTAAGTGAAGTTAGTAAAGGGGAGTTTAGTAACCATAGCTATACCTCTACCGTTACTAGCTCCAACGTTAATAACGCACTTAGTAACGGCTACTAACGTAGGTGGTAATGATTACTAAATGAAAAGTAATAGTCACAATCATTTCACCTCACGAATCAGCCGTTTTATAGAGGTCTAATTCGCGAGCGTCAATATTTTGATGTATCACTGAGTATTTACGCACATAACGTCATAAATGAGAACAACACACACGCGCAAGTCTACGCGACACTTACAGTTCCTAAACAGTTGCAGGAGTATTTATAGCCCTCTTTTTGGAGAACGCAGCTGGTGCCGGTGGGCGACTATTCTGTAGGATGGATAGTTTTGGCTAGGCGCCTTTATTTATATAGCGTAGAATTTTTTATGTGCGAGAGGTAATGTAGCGTGAAACTTTTAATCAAGCATGTAAAGACAAACAACAAGTTATGTGTATTTTGCACAATACCACCTCAACAAGACCTAATATACAAAACCCAAGGCTGGGTGCTAAGCTTACAAATATTGCCTCAATGAACTTGAATGCATCCCTGTGCTAGTAAATAGGTTGTTAGACGCTCGCAATAATAACCTCTAAGGTTTGTTCAACAACTTCACTAAACACGTTCGTGACGCAAAGTTAGCAACGGTGCGCAAAAGGTAAGCAACCATTGCAGCCTTTAAGCGTCTTCTGACGTAAGTAGTAAGAAGGTCATGAAAAGTTGGTAATGGCCTTAGAAAGTTAGTGACACCTGCTGTTACTAACTTTTTGCACGTGGTTACAAGCTTTTTACAAACTTTTTTAAAAGTGTGTGCTCGTACCTTTGGTTGTACCACTGTATACTGTGGAAAATGTCCATTCCGTTCCTCCTGAACCTTGTCGTGCGTGTGAGACAGCTTGCGCAATTTGGTGCAAAGGCGATACGCATTTAAGTTTCTGAAAGCTTTTTCTGAGTCTTTTTGCTTTTTGAAAAAAAAATGTCGCAATTACGCACCAAGGTAGTTTAAAACACTTAACAACAAATAACAAGGGCTTGATGACCCGAAAAAAAATAAAAGGAGAAAGAGATATTTCCTTTATTGACTAAGCAGGTCACTATTGAATGGGATCACGAAAGACAGGGCTTCACAGATAATGACACACAAAGAAATGGTTACACAAGTGGCACAAACTTCACATCATAAAACAAGAGTCAGGAGTATTTGTGACGAGCCAATATTTTTTTCTTTCCGCGCGTGAAAAGCAGTACAATTGTAAACCATAACAACTTTTTGTAACAAAAGTATTGCAAAGAAAAAAATCACTAAGAGCACAAGGAGTGAACAAAGTGTTGCGTTTTGTGTACAATGCCAGCCACTCGTATCCTTAAGCGTAAACGGCTAGTGACAATTAATGCGAATTCTCCATACACTTCTTGCAGACAAGCTTTATATATTCAAAACAAAAAAAAAATCCTACAAGTGGAAGCAGTGCACAATCACTCTGCGAGAACACTGTTGTTTGTAAGACACTAAATAACAGCACGAAAACACACAAAGACAGTGACAAAAAACATGCCCAGGGGTACAGAAATGATGTGAGAAAGTATTAACCTTTTGCTTTTTATTATTTGGTTAGGAAGACGAAAAAAAAAGTATGTAAATGTCACGACGATACGCATAAGGGCCTTATTTATATATACTGAAACCAAAGAAATGTGTTATGTACAAGTATTTACAGCCTGGTTTTCGCGAATATATTCACCTGAGTGGCAATGTGACAACAACACACACGCATGTTACGGAGAGGATGACGCGAGACAAACAACCGTAATAGACACATTCAGCACAGTGCCACCCAAGACCACACTGATTCCTTGCTTCCAAACGGCACCGACGCGCCGCACAGCGCCCTCACTCTCAGACAGCTAAGACTCCAACTGCTAAAATTACTGCCTTCCGGCCCTACTCGCCTCCCCGAACCGTCCCGTTCAAGCGCGTCTGCTGCTAAGGTGGAGCAGCCTAGAGTCACTGGGAAAAGTTTTCAAGAGATCCGCAGCTATAGACCATTCACGGCGTCTTGACCTACGGCCATGCCTTCCGGCAGCCGAGTGGTGTTCTACGAAACATCTCGCCGCCTAATTTACGTAAATTTGACCACGACAGACCTCATAAGACTGGACTGAACTCCTCAGCGTTCATTCTATAGTTCTTTTCTCTTTCCATCATTCATGGCCTTTGTATGCTATAGCTTTATATGAATCAATTCTTCCTTTGATAAAAAATTTGAGGCTTTCGCGGCACTCGTAAACTGGAAAATGCCACGTATTATCCGTCTTATCCACGCCCGATGATTCTGTGGCAGCGTTTTCGTGCAAATTGTAGCGATGTCCGCGACATTTTTTTTACCCTTTCATTTTCCCAGTGACTATATGATGTTACGCCGGGGCGGGACGTCGGTCGTGTATTGAGGCCCTTAGTTGTGTCCGGGAGGTCACCACCAGCCATCGTAGTCTCCGTGTCCACCGTAGCCGAACCCGCCCACCAGGCCACCGCCGAAGCCGTGACCGTAGTCAGCGAAGAAGCCGTGACCGTGACCGTGACCAAATCCGTGATCCGCGTAGCCGAAGTCGACCAGGCCATGATGGTGGTGGTGATCGCTGTGCGAGTGAATGTGGAACCTGCGTTCCGCGGGTATGCTTAGCTGTGCAGTTTTGTGAATGCGCCAGCCGCATTTTGACAAATGTTAATTGCTAAAACGGTCGTGTTATCTAACATGTGCGTTAAAAAATCTCGAACCCGCCGTGATAGTTCAGCCCACAAGGAGTCTCATTGATAAGCTCGAAGGAGCGGGTTCGATTTCCGACCATTGCGGCCACATTTCTAAGGCTGCGAAGTACGAAGAAAACCCGTATGCTTAGTTATATGCCAGGTGTTCCAGCTAACTTGTGGCGAGGGTTCGAAATTGCAGTATTGAAACAAGCAAGTGATTGATTGATTGATTTGATTGATTTGTGGGGTTCAACGTCCCAAACCACCATATGATTATGAGAGACGCCGTAGTAGAGGGCTCCGGAAATTTCGACCACCTGGGGTTCTTTAATGTGCACCCAAATCTGAGCACACGGGCCTACAACATTTCCGCCTCCATCGGAAATGCAGCCGAACAAGCAAGTGAAATAAATTGCATATTGCTGACAGCCACTTTTTCCGCTACAGATATTGTTTCTTTTTGTAATTCATTTGTTACTTAGATCTCTTTAACTAAATTGTTGAATGTTCAATTTAGGCAAGCATTGAGATTTCCAAAGTACGAGAGTGTCTTTAGAAACCCCCATCGCATTATCTGCGATAAAGTCTCTCACGCGTAGCATTTTTTTATTTTCAAGCTACAAGAAAGACCCACAAAATACACACTCAAAAAAAGAAAAGGAAGAAATGAGAATAAAAAATGACCGCAGTTTCCAGAGTCGGAACACTGGTTAGCATGCGGATCATATATTTTTAACTGCGATAAATGTGGTTTGTAATTTGTAATTTGCGTTCTAGAAGCTGGGAATCTTCGCTCGACGTTGACGTCTCGCAGCTGCTTCACGTTCTCGGAGATGGGGATCTTCCGCTCGACGCCAACGTTTGCGTTCCGCATCGCGAGCTCTTTTCAGCGCGGCCTTGTCCACGGACTAAGCGTCTTCAGAATTTGCTTGCGGTTCCGCCAACACATTAGCTGACGCTATTGGAAGGGAAATCAGTAAGTGTGTTTGCGGATTTGTTAGCATACATTTTCACCAGCGACATCGGACGTGGAGCGACCGCACACACCAACCGACGAAGGGCGGCGCGCTCCGACACTCGGTTTATAGCGAGCGCTTGCCCCAGCCTGCACATGCGCGCGTTAGCATACAGCTGGCGCACGTAAAACCAAAGGTCACGCACGCACGGAGGGGAGAAGCGAGCGCAGCGCGCGCTGTGTTGAAAGAAGGAAGTGATGCCCAGATGGCTGGAGGAGGAGAGGGGGAGGCTGCGGACGGCGACGGCGCATGACTAGCCCCTAGTATAACATGCTCCGCATGTAAAAAAAAAACGCGTGACTAGCAGGGTTTCCGCGAAAGAAATTTGATGCAGCCGCGTCACGCCGGCATTGTTGCAGCAGTAGGCCGATAAGTTGGTGATGGCTTCTTGGCCTGCATCAACCGGTTAGTACACGTGACGGTGCAAGTTGTAGCTGAGCGAGGGCTTAGGAACTACCGCCAACCTAATGGCCCACCGCTGCAACGGAGCCGATGAGACGTGGCCGCATCGAATTTCTTTCGCTGAAACCCCGCTAGTCAAGTGTTTTTCTTCTTTTTTGTATTTCATCGGCCTTCCTTTCAGCTTGGAAACAATGGTGCACGTGAGGTCTTCTTTATCGCAAATAATGTGATGGGGGTTTATGAAAACACTGTCCTACTTCGGAAATCCTATTTTAGGCCTACACTCAATATTTTTTTTTTACATTTCAGGTAAATAATCTGAACTAACACGTGAATTACTCACAAAACAAAAAAAATTTCTATAGTGCGCAATGTTGCTGTCAGCAATACGCAGTTGATTTCACTCGCTTGCCTCTAATATTGCGTTTTTCAACGTTTGGCACAAGTTAGCTGGGACACCTGGTAGGTCCACGTTAAAGAACCCCTGGTCGTCCAAATTATTCCGGAGTCTGGTGTGCCTCATAATAAGGTCGCAATTCTTGTGGCTTAAAAAAATACCTCTCAAGGTTTATTAATTAATTTATTTATTTATTTATTTATTTATTTATTTATCGGGCACGGGCAAACAAACTGGCATTAATGAGATTCGCTAAGTCTGTAACAGCTTTATTCCGAGGAATACTAATGATTAGCACGTGTTTTGGACCTAGTAATCAGTGGGCGTCATATGAATTATTGAATGTCTAACATGAAAAGGAGTCATACAGTCTGCCGCGTGCATCATAGCTATTTTTTTTTCTTCGCATGAAGAGGCTTACACGTTCACCAACGCAAGTGTGTGCTGTCGCGCAACACTGAAACGTACGTATATAGTTATTAAAACTTCAGCTTCTCATTCCCCGCTTTCCCAAGACTCCGTTTACAGTGTTCAAGAAAAACAATTTCGAAACCGTGAGGTTTCAAAACTTCGTTAAAACTGAGTCATTATTCAAAAGATTTGAGTACCTTTAATTGTCCATTTCAATGCTTTTCAATTGTATGGCAGAGCTTGACTTCTCACAAAGAGCAATTTTCAGATTACGGGGTTGTTAGCGGGAAGCATCCACTTTGAAGAGTATTGAATGTATGGTAATCAAAAGAACTTGTTTTTGGGCTAATTGGTAATTCATTTTGGTATAAAATTAGTCGAGCGCTAGAATGGCTCATTCACGCACTCAACCATGTACCCACACATTCACACAATCAAAACACGTGTGTTGGTCGTGCAAATGTGTGGGTGTGTTCACATGTGAATGGTCCATTTTCGCGCTAGATTAATCAAACACCGAAATATAGTGGCAATTTTTATTCTTTAAATAAATAATATGCTTGAAAAGATATTCGCTATGCAGTGCCGTGACTAGCGAGGGGTTCTGAATGGTCCTGAATTTGTGTCACTAGCTTTGGAGCTATAGTGATGTATAGGGCCAGGCCCACAGTGATAAACGAGTGAACGAAATACTCCAGCAATTACGTAGTAAAAGGAAAATTGCCGAACCGTGGTCAGCGCAATAGATAAGAGAGCGATGAAAGCGGTTTGAGGAAGCTATAGCCTGCTTATGGCTGATATAATAGAGGAAAAGGAAGTAGGTAAATGAGTATACAGAGGAGGAAAAGCACCTATGTATAACATTCCGCTAATCGTTATGCTGCCGTTTATGAAAAGACGCACTGTGAGCCAGAAGCGGTGCGATATATAAATAGATTGCTAACTGTTTCCTGTGTTTGATGAGGACGAGAACCGGTGCATTCAACATAGTATGGCCGATGGCTCGTTTGATCAGATACCTTTTTTTTTTTTTGCGGAGCGAGTTTAGCAATATCGAACACTGTGCAAATACAAATATCTTTCGAACTCGACGCCCAGACATTTAAAGCAAACAGGTACTGGAAAAAGAAGAAACAAAGATCGCCTACAGGAAGAATAGTGGAACGAATATTTATTGCAAGGAAAAACGCTGTTAGCTCGGCCCCCTGCTCTCAGCGTTGGGCAAGTATAGAAAGGCAGAGAATGATGATGATGTTGAAGATGTTTGAAATTGAGACTCACGGAAAAAAACAGGTAATAAAAGAGAGGAATATTGCAACCAATTTTCACCTTTAATTTGTTAGTCGTACATTTAGCCTACCATTGTGATTACCAGCGTACTTTTTTTCTAGTGATCAGAAAAATTCAGACTGAGTTTTCTAGGGTAGCCACTAGATGCACGAGGATATAGCAAGGAAATTACGACGGATGCCAGACACTGACTTACATGGGTGATTTCTGTTTTTAAAACTCAATCACACAGGGACGACATCTCCTGGAGTTCACATAACGTAATTCCCTTCACTTGCGTCATAAAGCGTGTCAGGGGAGCTTCGTGGTGAAAGCGCAGCTTCCAAAGGACGGCGCTGACAAGAGGAGGCTTTCACGACGATCGGGAACAATGTGTTGTTGGTGTTAGGACGGAAAATTTACATGAGACAAGCCCACAGATATTGACTGACGTGTTTACTGGAGGAGATATGATACTGAACCTCAAGGCTAAGCAGTCAGTCACCTAGCGCAGGAATTTCTTTCGATCGAACGTGTCCATGTGGTTCATCCATACCTATATGCTTTCATTGTTGATCCACTACTTGATAGGACTCGCCCAAAGCACAGTACTTCAAAAAATATTACTATTGCACATCACTCTTCTATGACCATCGTCTCTTGGCATATATATGCGTCCTGCTTAACGGCGCGAAATGAACAACACACAAAAACATACTACACACAAGAACTATGCTCGTTTTTCGGTGGCTTCTTTTCGTACCGCTAAGAAATGTATAGTCAAGTGACACCAGTTTGCTAAGCAACAAGCCCTTTGTCAGTGTAGTATTTCGTAGCGTTTACAATTATACGACGCGAACATTTATCATGAGGTTGCTGCATCTTTTAATGATTTTCTTCAGCTTCTTCTATGCACCTCATAACATTTGCTCTGAGAACTGTCTAGTTCTGGCAGTAGTGTGAATTTGACTACGTGCTAGCCAGTTATATACATCATTGATCTACAAAATACTAGACCCTCCTCCTCCGTATTTCACACTCAAAAATTTCCTTTGAGCACGGCGTTTATAAATGTAAGATATTTTTATGCACGCACGCTTGCTCACGGTAATGATTTCGCCTCATGATATTTTTACTAACATCAGTGGCGTCACGTTGCTACAAAGTACAGTTTCAAGGAGAATTGGAGTATCGTGACACATTTCCAGCTGCTCTTTCGGTCTCACTGTAAAGAGAGTTTTAGAGAGAGTTTAGAGAGTTTAGTTCATCATTATTCAAGAAACGAAAAAAAAAAAGAGAAACTCGCAGTGTCCCATATGCATTCACCTAAGGCGATGTGGAGGCAAAAACCATCCGAGGTTGGGGGGGGGGGGGGGGCTATTTTGCCGTTCACCTTATATTAAGCGATTTTTTTTAAATGAAGCGAACATCACAAAGACGAAGTGAACGCGCAGCTTGTACGCCTCGATCTACGAAGGCGCAGGGTGGTCATGTGACCTTTGTACGACACGCCGGTTTCTGGCTCGATGTCACTAGATATACAAGGATTTCACTTCAATTAATAATGAGGAGCATCATGGGCCCAGACCGCACACAATGCGTGAGAAGCACGTGCCCACACATCGTCAACACGGAAAGGTGGCTTTTCCACTTGTGCCGTAACCGAACGGCAGAGTGTGCTCACAAGGGCTGCTGCCGATTTCTGTTAGAGAATAGGGCACACGATGTAATGAAGATTGCTTAATGCTGCATGTGCCAACTTCACCTATACAATAGTCAATTTACACATGCCTACGCTCAACAGCAACGAAATAAATTGAAGCAAGAAAGGAACGTAGCTTTTGGAGATTCCATCGGGCATGATCTGTTATACGAGCGCATAAGCCAGAGCGTCAAAAATACAGTTTCCATGCACGAGTAATGCTAAGACTAATAATTTTGAGAAGAACTGGTGAACTGTAATGGATGTATTGAGAGAGTTTGTGATTACTCATAGAGAGAGAAATACTTGTATTTTAAGCCTAGTTTTATAAAAGTTGTGTCCCCCAAATTACGGGCAATTCCTATAAGCAACATTTTGTTGCTGCGCTTTATCATGATGTCTTGTTGTTTAAACTATTAGTGTTCTGCGCAAGCACGTCAAATGAGTGTTAGTAATCAAAATATGCCTTCCATATTTTGCTGCAACGAAAGCTAGTCCACACATTTTGAGTGTAACGAGACAAAAAGGGCGCCCTAAGCTTCCATTTGGTTTCAGAAAACTTGAGAAAAAACGTGGCTAAAAGGCTGTCTTTTTTGGACACAATTGGAGTTGCTTTCTCCTTCTGGCATCGACATTTTATTTCATTGATAACAGCGTATAAATATTCAGACGTGAAACTCCAGGTTATGACAAACCTTGATGTGAGTCATGAGCTCTTACAACAGCCATTTGTGCATGGACCATACTGAAGTACGAGGAGTCGCGCATAATCCCTTTCTGAAAGCTGCTTCCGCTTTCTCGGAGTTGGCGGACACATCATAAATAGCTCTTGTGCCGAATTATTATCACTGATGCAGTACGATAAAGACTAGAACACCAAGAGAACATACGTTGTTCGAGTGGAGAGTTCAAAAACATAAGGTTTCTCACCTCATCCACGTCATCAGGCCTTCACCGCAATTGCTAGTCACATTATTAGAGCTCACTTGACCACATGTCAAATGGCAACGCTCCGCTGCAGTACTCTTCTATGCATACATATTTTCTAGTCAGCTAGGTATCGTGCATTATTTGAAACATGCTATACTGTCTTCTCAAAACTTTCTTCCTTGTGGTCTATACCAGCATTACAACAAGACTAAGAATGGCGAGTGCAATGTAGGTATTCGTTTCAAGATTTTAGGATGGTCCTTACGTCGAGGGTAGTATTAAAATATTATAATATAATATAATATAATATATTACAGCAATGTTGCTATTTGCTAGTAATACTTGTATTAGCCTTCAAAAAACCTTAAGCACAAAGATTCCACTCTCGTTGAGCACTGAAAGAAGCCACAATGTGTACACTTGACACAAACCGTCCATGGTCTAGTGGCGGTCTCGATAACATTATAACCCAGCAATTTACGTACGAATTTATGCACGAATTTATGCAACAATTTATGCACTCACGGGATGGGTATGTGGACCTTGTGCGTGTGGTGGACGGGCAAGAAGTGGTGGTGGTGGTGGTGGCCGCCGTGGTGGTGGTGAGAGTTGATGAGGTGAGACACGGCCGCACTGCCAACGAGCGATGCACCAGCGGCCCCGGCTGCCAAGGCCAGAGGCGTGACCTTGCCCACAACAGCGGCGGCCACAGCAGCGCCCAGCTTGAGCTTCTTTTTATGATGACTCTGCTCCGTGGGTGGTACGAGACCGGCCACCAGGAGGACAGTCAGGGCTACAGCCCCCAGCCTAAACTGCGAAGACATGCTGCGGGAGGTACAGGAGGTAGTATCAGAGCCTGGTATGATACCATATCTGTGAGTGGTGTTGTAAGGCGCCGCATCTGTAACGTCAGTGCTCAAGAAACAATCAGTGCGCACATTGTTAAAAAAAAAAAACGTGTGTGCTGGAGTGAAATTCCCGCCTTAACTAGGATGAGAACGCGACACTGGTTCATTGCCAGTGCGGCCGCACTGCCCATTTACAGTTTGCTGCTGGATGATACCTTAACTGATAACAATATTAAAGCTGCTCATAAAATTCACGGCCAATGTTAACACGAAACTACAATGTGCCTGCCTGCGAAATTGCATATTTTGCTGTCACACGAACTGCGCGCATTGTGTGCTCTCCTTAGAGAGCAAGACGGCTTCACCACGGCTGTATACACTGTTTATGCTGCAGAATGACTAGTTCCGGTGAAAGTATGAGAAACTATTGAACAGGTAACGTCGATGGATCCAACGCTTTGACAGCATGACTTGTCTTTATCAGGAGATTAACTTCTTTCCTCTGGAGGATTTTTATAGACGCCTTTCTCACTCTCCCTACCACCAGTGGATGACGAAGAGAGCAATAAGAAGCTTTTCTACGCAAGCTTACCCTGCACAATCTAACTCTTCTCATTCTGGACTACTTGAGATGGAGCAGTGTGAGCAAGGAATACATATAAATGCCGCCAAAAAAGGCAGTTGCTGCCCTGACAAAGACCGCTTGGAGCAACGTTGCCTCCAGCTACATTCGCTGTTCAATGATTTCGCATAACTGAAGCGTCCTTCTTCTCCCGAACTTTTACCTTGTTTAGATAAGTACCGCAAAGGAATAGCCGCTAGACGAAACAACTGCCACACTTGGCTAAGAACATATCCTGAGCTTGAGTTTTGTAATAATCATGGCTGCCTCTTGCATGAAGAACATAAATATAATTCCGACAAAAACATGGCTGAGTGTTAAAACAGCTAAAATACAATAATGTATTTCACGACAGTATGTTTCCACAAAAAATAGACCGTTTGAATTGAAACAGCTGTCAGATTCATGGCGAGATAAGGACGCCTCGTCTAAAAGAAGATTGTAAGAGTTAGCTCGTGGCAACCTGCACGCCCTATAACCTTTCTATTGTATGCTAGCTGATCCGTGGTTGCGAAACGTGACAGTGCCTTGTAGGTTAAAGATTTTGATCGCACTTCCTGCATGAGAACGAAAAGCGCTCGCAGAATCGTCGCATCCCGGTCAGTTGAGATATCGACGGTTCAACTGAGCGTTGTCTGGTATCGCATAAAATCTGTCAATCACGTCACCCTTTAGCAGGCCTATTAGCCTCGTGTCATCGTGGGCTAAGCAAATTTATGCGCGACCGATATGATCGTGATAAAAAGATAAACGAAAGTTCTTCTGCGCGCGTTGCCGCCCTTATACCTTCTCGAAGCGTTACCTAACGTCGATCACTCGGAACCACAGCGCATAGTCACCGCATGTCCTCCGCACACACCCTTCCCTTCTTTTTATCTGGATTAGCTCCACGAGCTAGATGACATGCAGGCAACAGGTTAGTTCGAGTCCTCAAGATGCGGGACCTTCGCCGACGATTTCCCGCTTAGCACAGCGGTTTCGGACGCTTCTCGAGGCGGCATAGTCCACCGTTTGGTAACTGCAGGCGTAGCGCACTCGCGGGGTTCACACGTCGCGCATCCCGTGGCAGCGGTGACGGCATTGCGAGGCTTGCCCAGGGCACCGGGCCTGACGGGCGCAAACTCCGAAGGAGAGCCCGTCAGTCGCGGTGCGCCCGCCACTCACCCGGCGTCTGCTTTTGGTCGCGGAGGTATATCCACTGGGAGAAGCTGTGTCTGTGTCCAGTGATGCGGCCGGATGTGGCCTTTTATACGTTCTGCCATGGTACACGTGCTTGGTGCGGCGGGGAAAGGATCGGCAGGGCGGGGGGGGGGGGTCTACCTGCGAGTCCAGGCTTCTGGGTCACCACGCCGGGCCTGTCCTCTAGGCCGCCGGTGGCCAGCAGAAGCACTGAGAGGAGAAAGTGAGAAGCGGAGAGAGCCGCGCACCACTCTCGCCTAATAGGCCGACGGAAATCGAACAAGAGCACGCCGCAGCACGCAAAAATAAACGGGCGGAGCGGTGTTCGCACCGTCCGCTGCCACCGCTCGCGCGCGCGCACACACAGCTAAGTTTAGCATCGGGGCTGCGCGCACGGAATCGCGTCTTCCGGATAACGCCGGGACATGCTACGGCGCGCTGGCCGGCTGACTTTCCGGTTTTTTGGGAGCCCGACGTAATCGTTTTCGACTACTCTTTGTTCACCTTCCCCGCCACCTCGCAGCCGTTCGTTTGCCACGTTATTTTCCCCCCTCTCTGCAGGTGACGTATAACTGGCAAACACCGGAGGATTAAATGCGGCTAACACGTAACACCGTTGCATACACAGCGCTAGACGGGACGGCGCGCGTGTCAGTTTTTCGGACGGGACTGGCGACGCCTTCGAGAGCGATCGCGAGCAAAGACAATGCGGCTTTGTTTTCTCCGTATGCTTGCCGACGTTCCATAATTACCTTACAGGCAGGAAATCCCTTGCGTGATGCCGGGCCTTGCTGTCGCTTTTAAATGGTCATAAATTGCTTTCTGGACGTTCGTGTTTGGCTCAATAACACCTTAAACGTCAGAGTGAGTACTTCGCTATGGTGAACATAATCATACAGTTCTATGCCTAGACACAAAACAGAGATTGCGATTCATGCAGCCATCCACGTAAATTACAGAATTACACTGTTCTCTCTGCTCGTGTATATCAGCGTATTCCTATTACGTTTGACAAACTCTGAAAATTTCAGCACTGGGGTATCGATTTTCCTGTTTACTGCTCACGTTAGAACAAAGTTAGACGCTTAGAGTCGCTTTAAAAAACAAAAAAAAAAAACTGCCCTGCGGGACGGGAGCTCTGAGCCAAAGGAAATAACAGGCTAGCAGGATGCCAAAAACGAGTGTCATGTTAATCATAAGAATGAATAGGTACCGTGAAAGACAGGAATAATTTATCTGGTTTTGTCAACGTGCGGGAAATCTTATACGTGGAAAAGCTGCAGGTGCAGTAACGTCAAACCGAGAGATCATGAGTGATCACTTGCTAGTACCCCGGGCTTACATTCGCCCGCTCATTGCTAATATTCGGGTTGGGAACCCGTCTTTAATGATGCCAGAGTTGTCTCCAAGGATAATAGATTCATAGGCCATAAGATAGTAGAGGTGTTCCCCATCAGGCGAAAAGGAGACGGGTGTATCATCGCTCCCTCTATCAGTCTGTCCGACAAATAATTCGAATACCCGCGATCCACGTGCTACAGCTAACTATACGCGGCAGTGATCGTTCGTTTGAAATCCTTAACATGGGTTGTTTCCTGGTTTCGCTGCTATTCAATGGCAGTGACACATCATCCTTGTTGCGGCTATTTAAGGTTGATACGTCTTTGTTTTGTTATTTTGATAAACTAGCTGTGAGTTAAAAAAAAGAGTTGTGAGTCTGCACCTGTGTGTCGTTTATATTTTCATTTGTGTGACGTACCGAAACCACAGTATGATTACGAGAGACGCCGCGGGCGAGGGTTCCAGAAATTCTCAGCACGTGGTGTTCTTTAACGTGACCTAAATTTAGATGCACGGGCATCTAGCATTTAGCCTCTATAGAAATACGGGATTCAATCTCGCGACATTTGGGTGACTAAGCGAGTGCCACAACCACTTTACAGAAGCACGGTGGGTGGAGTGAGTAAAAACGACTTATTCTTTTACCCATTGTTTTATATAAGTGGGTGAAATAACTCTAAAGGCGTTATTTTTTTCCTTCTTGTTGCTCAATTCCTAAACGGCTTGGCCTTTTTGTTTTGGGAGTGTCCGGAAGCTTTCCTTACTCAACGATAAAGGTTGGCGAGAAGAATATTGGCACTGTGTTTTCCACTGTTGCTGCGAATTGTTTACACTGTCTTATCTGGGCTGGTCTGTGTCGTGGCATGAAGGCATGGGCTTCTTTTTTTTTTTTGTCTCAAGCCTTTGTGTAATACTACCTACTATTTATTTCACTCTACCTCAGGCTTTGGAAAACATGGCAATGACTTTTGCTGAAAATTATGGCGGAATTTTCGACACGATAGAGAAAGATATGTCCTGACCATCACTGACAAGAATAAAACATTGCCTGCCTCAGATTTATGCATTTCCTAGGCTCCAGTGAGGGGGTTTCTCGCATAATATGTAAATAGTGAGGAGGGGTCTGAGACTCCCTGAAAAAAACCCTGACTTAAACACATGGTTTCAATAAAACTGCTCTGCGTCTTCTCTACATCGCATTTATATAGGGTCCTTTGGAATCCATCATATAGAGTCTTGGAGAAACGCATATAGATGTATCTAACAATGATCGGTCACAGAAGCAGGCCCTGAGAATCCGTGTTCTAAGAGAGAGAGAGGGGTAGGTCCTAAGTGTATTGATAGTTGTCGACTCTCCTTTTTCTGTATATGCTATATTTGCGGGTACTTGAAGAGCCCTCATGCTGTTTAGCTAATTCATGTACGTGCTTAGGCGAGAACGCTATCAAATTATTAGCGCCGTAATTTAAGAGGCACGTTGCATCGAAGGAGCTGCGTACAACTAAAGGTTACCATGCTCCATAGCAGTGTTTTTTCTCCTCAACTTCATCGTTGAGAAGTCGGCCTTGCTGGAGCTTAGGGGTTGAGGTATAAGCACCGTATCCAAGTATCGTCCATCGGCACGGGAACTATCGCAAAGGCCACGCTTCGTGTTAGTCCGATGCAGCACTACGCCTGAAGGGGCTTCGGGAAACTGGGGTAACTGCACATCCTCATTTGTAAACACAACATGAAATGCAAATGCCAAGAAGTTTGCCGACAAATTAAAGCTCTCAGACAACGATAACCGGTAACTGTATATCCGGCAATCGCTGGGGTAATCTTGAGGCAGTAAGCGATAGCCGCAAATCGCGGATCCTGAAAGAGACAGAGAGAGGGGGAGGGAAATGAATTTATATTTTTCCAAACTGTTCCGAGGGATGCCTGGTGTCATGCTGAGTTGGGAGAATCCAGAAGTCCGTGAACTTCAACTGCCCTTTGGATCCAGGTGGCGAGTTGTCGCTGGTCTGCAGGTCTTAAAGTCCGTGAGGGAGCCTGTCATATTTCGATCAGTTTGTCATCACTTGTTTGTCCTACTTGGCTCACATCCGTCTTCGGCTGCATATTCAGGTGTGCATGACACGAACATTTCAGGAGCAAGTGTGGCAAGGTGCCCAGTAAGTTTCATAGCGGTGTTGTGACTCTCAGTCATTGACGACGCACTGTGTACAAAAAGCATACCCGGGATGCGTTCTCGGGACCTGACATCCCTGGATATTTCTCTGAAAAAAGCACCAAGCGGCCGGAAGCATCGCAAAGAAGAAAGAATACGGCAAGCTTCTACGGACAGTGAGCCAACGCCCATGCGGACATTTCCTCCCCAATGGCTTGTTTGGGCAGGCTGCGCTGCTGGCAGGCCACGTATAGGAGTTAAAGCGATTAGGTCGCCATGAATTTTTCGCTGCTCTTCAGGGGAGACACTGCGTAATCGACAAACGACCCGTCAGCCAACTTGTCTCATGATGGGACCCCCCCCCCCCCCCTTCATTAAGTTTCACTGACCGGGGGGAACATTGCGTCAGCGAGTGCAATGAGCATCGTCGACCGTGTGTGTTATTGGCTGGTGCCACGGTGGGTGGTGTCGTGTGTGGAATTGGTTTTCAATCCAGAAGAAGGAGCCCGACTGAGGGTTTAGAAGGACGATGAGAAGGGCAAGAAGACGCTCTGAACCATAGTTTAACGGTCCATCCACCTAACTCGTGGCTCGCTAAACTCTTGCCTTTTTGTGTTGTAAATTATTTTGCAAAGTGTTTGTAAACCAGTTTGCTATTTCCAAAGGCTTACTAGCATAATTTCCTCAACCCGGAGACTCAGCACGCTACCAAACAGAATGATTCGACGCAACCCTGAATTTTCGGCAGCTCACGTCAGTGGAGGCGCGTTGGTGAACCATGGCGCGCAACAGTGGGCAGATGGGACAATCATCGTTCCGAGAGCTGGGTGCTCACTCAGTGAACCACTGCAGCCACTTCGCTCACCGGTTGTCTTGCATGGGCACAGGACATCGCGGCCTGACGTGCCACCTATCGATAAATTTACAGCTGACAGTGGAACCATCGCTATTCATGGTGTTGAAAAAAGAAAAACTTAGAGATCAATGCATCTTGCATAGTTCACGTAGCATGGAATATATTCTAACACCAGCAGACGATGCCGGATTTGCACCGGAACATCCCAAGTGTAGTAGTGAATTGTGAATATTATCATTTTACTGTTACTGCATTTTTCATGAAATGAGTGATAAAGGTTCTATTACGATCAACATTTGTTCACAAGAAAGCTCGAAAAATAATCAGCCATGTCTCTGGGACAGCCACTCTCCATTTCGAGACATCCGTCACCCTTGCAACACACAGAGGGAGTATAAAACTTGGTTGGCAATGCAAAACCTTACAAGCCACTGGACACGAGGATTTTGAAGAGAGTTTAAATCGATCAGTTTATGATGCGAACTCACGCAAGCGGCTCATCGGGCTTGAAGAAAAAGACAGGTTTATGCTCATTAAAAAAAAACAAGAAAAACTGAGGCAGCTTCACGCGAGTGGGGCTAAGTCCGAAGGAAGTGCGGAGCTATTAATGATGATGATGAAGGCCTAAAAGCATGGTTTCAACCCACTCTGGGGGATTGGCCAAGAAGCGAGTAATTAGATGGGGGGG